AAAGAAAAAGATATAACCTAGCTGAGGGAAAAATATACATAAATAAAAGTTAAATATTCAAATTTTTCCATTAAAAACACCTACTTTACTGTTACAAAGGTATATATGTATAAATAAATTGATGTGGTTGTTACAATAAACTTTGCTAATAAAAGCAGGAAACAGGCCTGTGTGCCACTGAGCTAGTCCCTGTTGTGAATGCTTTATTATTGCATTTAAACCTCTTCACCCAGAGAATTAGGTACTCTTCCATTTTACAGATGTGGAAACCTAGACATTATACAGCTGTTAAATGGTGGAGCTAAAACGAACCTACACAATCTGACTCTAAGTGTTGTATTTCTGTTCATTGAAATAGACTGGGTCTTTGCTATACCATAAATCTTTTTTCTTGTTAGTACCATCAAACAGGATATATTAGTTTTTAATGTGGGTACATTATCACTTGAACTTTGTCATTTTTAGGGCATTTTAAAAGTGCAAGAAGGTTGCCTCAATAGATAGGTTGTTAATTATTCAAATGTATTTTCAAAGGATGTATAATCCTCTAATAGAAGAAAAATACTATCATGATGAGAATTATTTTCTTAGGGTGGTAAATGTCATTATGTTTGACACTATATTTAGAAGTACATATACATTATTTAAATCTAATGTTTTATATTGGATGTGCTGGTGTATACCTGTAAGCCCAGCCTGTATTCTCTCAGGAGGCTGAGGCAGGAAGATCCCCACAATTTCAAGCTCAGCCTGGGCTACATCATGAGTTCAAGGCCAGTCTGAACTACAGAGCAAGACTTTTATCTCAAAAAAACCCCAAAACAAATGGTTTAAATTTATTTTGATAAGAATATAAATTTTTTCTTCTTAGTTTGGATTTAGGTGGCGAGTAGAAAAAGAAGTAATTTCGGGAAAAGGTAATTATTTTTACAAATTTTACTTGTACATAGGACACATTATTTTGTTATGATTATTGAATTAAGACATTATGTAAGATTATTCCTCCCATATACAACCAGTTGTTGTCTACAAAAATAAAATTAGAAAAAATGGATTTGTGATATTAGCAAAAGTCAAACTTTAATGATTATTCCTTTTAGAGTATTGCCTTTAGAACGTTCAACCATTCATTATTACCACGAGAAGCTCTAGACCTCAGTCAGGATAAGTAGGAGCCAGTAGCTACTTAGGTTTAATTTTAGACTTTTCATGCCTCATATAAATGTGTTGAATGTTCTAAAGGCAAATAAAACACTTTCAAATGTAGAAAGTGTTTAAAGATTTAGCCAGGAATGCTGGGACTTGTAGTCCCAGCAGTCTGAGAGGCTGATGCAGGCCCATCACAAGTTCAAGTTCAGTCTGGGCCATTTAGCACCTTTGTGAGACCTGGCCCGCAGAGAACTGCTGAGGGTGCGGCTCGTTGTGAAGGCCCTGGGCTCAATCTCAAATACCTGCGGTGGGGGATTTAATAGCAAGAAACAAAAGAATACTTGATTCTTTCACTTTCTTCAGTACTTTGTAAAATAATAAACTGGTATTACTGTATTCAAGCAAAATTATTTTAAGAATAAAAATTATCATTTTGAACCTAATACATTTTTGTACAGTTGGTCGCCACTTTAGGCAGTATCCGAGATTGAGCCCATGTGTTTAGTTTAGTCCAACAGCAAAGACCAAACATTTAGTTGGCAGTCAGTAAATGTTTTTTCTATGCATTGTTGCAATCTTTTTTTCTTCTGTAACCTATTCTTAAAGTTTTTTTGGAAACTATGCCTCTATATAGTCTGTGCATATAAATTAACTCTGTATAGAATAGTAACATCTTAAATGCTAGTATTTCTGAATACTATGTGGTGGCAGAAATAATTTTAAACTTTAAACTAAATTAAACTGAAAAAAAATACATTTTTATAAGATTTTTTTTACAAGATACATTTCAAACATTTACAAATGTTTAAATGCTTAAACATTTATGGGGGGCCGGGAAGATGGCTCAGTAGGATAAGTGCTTGCCTGGCAAGAGTAAAGGCCTGAGTTCAATCCCGGATTCTGCCAAAAAAACAAACAACAACAAAAGATTAAAAGACCTTTGGGGCCAGGGAGATAGCTCAGTAGAATAAGCGCTTGCCTGGCAAGTGCAGGGGCCTGAGTTCAATCCCTGGTTCTGCCAAACAAAAAAAGAGACTCGTATCCTACTACCACCACACCAAAAAAAAAAAAAGGAAAAAAGAAATTTTAACTGTCTTACTGATATTTGTTTCTCAATGAAATAAAATAAAAAGTAATAATAAAAAGCATTTGTGGTAGCAGATGTCTTTTATAAATTGAATATTCTTTGTCAGATGTGAAATTAGATATGCAAACAAAATTAAGCACTAATATTTTTTTCTGTTAATAAAAGATCATCCTTGAAGGCACTTCAGAGAAGGGAAAAAAACAAATTTAAAGCTATTTTTAGCTTTTCTTAGGGTTACATTTTAGTTTGTGTTTACCTAAAATAATAAGAGATCCTGAAATGTCTCACAAATTTATTTTATTTTATTTATTTATTTTTTTTTGGTGGAACCAGGGATTGAACTCAGGGCCTTGTGCTTGCTAGTGAAGCACTTATTCTACGGAGCCATCTCCCCAGCCCTGTCTCACAAGTTTAAAATTTTGTATTTTTACTGAATGAGATGTTAAGGCAAATGTACGGTGGCCCCTTGTCGGAAGTCAGTGGGCACCCTCCCATCCTGGAATTAGTGAGGGCTGGGCTCCCGGGGAGGAGGAGAAGGGCAGCTGCCGCCCTGTGGGTTGCAACTTGCTGGTATTTTATAGACAAGATGAACAGACAATTAGGCAAGCGTTTGTCATAATTAAAAAGATACTGGTTTAGAAATAGGCAGTTTGGATGGTAATATTCTAAATACATTTTGGTAATTTCTTACATTTTTATAAAAAAGAATTAACTGGTTTCAAATTTGTTCCTGTTGGTGTAAATAATAATGATGTAAGTTAATAGATTTTTGTTTGTACAGCTTTAAGTTTGATGTTGACTTTTTCCAGCAAACTAAACAAAAAGTAGTTTCTTCTTTTTGCCCTTCTCGAGTCATAAATCTTAGTCCTTCTGTTGTGGGTTTTAACATACAGTGGACATAATGGACATACAGTGGACATGTTAGCTTTAGAAACAAGTGATTATAAAACATCAGAGAATCAAGTTTGATTGCTTATTGTACTTTATCCCAAAGTAGTAGAATTTTTGTATTCTTAGTGCCCCTTTACACTCATACTTTTAAATCAAGGCCATTATGTTGATACTTAAAATATTAATTTTAGTATTATAATTATTTATTGAAAGGATTCATGTAAGTTTAAGTGCATTTTAAAACAAAAATTACAAATGATAGTTTCACTAAGCAATATGAGTTTCACAGTATTTGTTGTATTACATAGTGTTGTCTTCAAATTAGTTGTTCATATTAACAGATATGTGCACACAAAATTGGAAGAAGAAAGAAAAAAAGAAATATGTAAGAAATTAAGAAGAGAAAAAGGTCAAAGAATTGAAAAAGAAGTCAAAACAAATTAAACACCAACTGATCCTTTCCATAGAGCAGCAGAAATCCACAGCACAGTTGTCCAACCCATCCTGCTTATGTGCATGGCAGAGCAGAGCAGAGCAGCGCAGCCCCGCCCCCCCCCCCCCCCCCCCCCGTCCTTTTCAACTCAGTAATTCCTTCCTTTTGAACAGGTTCATTCCCTTTTCGCAGTATCTCTTATATCCTTCAGATTTTAGAAAATACATTTATTTAATACTGAATGTATTCTGAGAATTATGACATTTTCTGGTAGTTCAGTTCTTTGCTTTGATATTTGTATACATATTTATTCTATAATTATTGTGATCAATTTTTTAATATACTGATTTTATAGAGCTAAGATTTTGCATATTTTTTAAAAAGTAAAATTTAGAGCTAATATTGATACTGTCATATTGATAAATGCTATCAACTATAGTAGCTAATATTCCTTTCCTTTTTGCAGGTCAGTTTTTTTGTGGAAATAAATGTTGTGATACAAAAGAAGGCTTAAAGAGTTGGGAAGTTAATTTTGGTTACATTGAGCATGGTGAAAAGAGAAATGCACTTGTCAAATTAAGTAAGTTAACTTTAAGGGAGACAAGATTGATTTAATCCCAGCACTCAGGAGGCTGAAGCAAGAGGATTGCTATAAGTTTGAGGCCAACCTGGGCTACAAAGTGAGTTCAAGACCAGTCTGGACTAGATGATGAGACCTTGTCTCAAAAACAAACACAAAGCAAACAAAAATGATTTCTTCCAAGTTTATCTTTGATTTAGAATTGAAAATGTATGGACTGTTTAAAGCATAATAATAAAAATTGGTATTATATCTTCCTGACAGTGTTCCAAACTCTTATAAGTTTTTGAACTTAAAGTTGTCGTATTCTAAGCATTATAGTAGCATTTTAAAATTATTTTTATTCTTTTATTTTAATTTTTTAATAGATTGCAAATTGAAAATAAATTATTTACAAACAAATGAATATAACAATAAAAATGTCCAAAATAAAAATGAAAGAATTTACAGATCAGTCATAATAGTTCACTGTCAAAACCAAGAAACGTATATTCATATAATTAGAATTTTCAAAGTGGAAAGGAGTAGGCAATAAATATTTAGAGATTTAAAATTTCTGAATTTAATACAACTTATAATATCATATTTCCAAGAAATAAGAACCTTAGGCACAAGAAATTTAAATAAAATCATACCAAGATACACAAAAATGAAATTGTCCAAAACTTATT